CTATTCCTTTACAACTGGCTTTTTCTCTCCTTCTAGCTTACCTGATAATAAGGCCTACCAGAGCTACTGCAATCATTGGAGCTTCCTTAATTTGTTTCCATGCATAGAAAACGTCCTGAAAGCCATTGTAAATATCGCTTTGCAGCCATATGACCACCAATGCTGCTGTGAAGAAGTTAAGAGACCAAACTGTTCCTATCGATCACCCATTTTTATGAACTATCAATAAAGACTTTCTTTCACACCGTTTTGCGTTCTAATCAGTTAGAGGTTGTGGTCTCCCACGTACAAACTCTTCTTTTCCCTTCCGATTCACGGGTCAGGATAGAGCTGACTCATAGTCTTATCTAGGTTACCTCGAGGCGGCCTTCTGGATTTATAGAGAACATATCCGACACATGAATGTAGTACAGTGGTACCAGGCATATAATCAACATAATTAATCCATAAACGCCTAAACAGGTGTCGAAGTGAGACAATTGGATTACAAATTTCAGCTATAGGAAGTTTTCATTGAAAGCGCTTCTCAATTTTTTTGCACTGTAGAATTTTAAAATTTCTTATCCAATTGGTCTAAGGGTGACATGATTTGGCGCCGTCTTTACATCGCCATGTCTACGTCAAGCAAGAGAGATTACCTTCGAGTCCAACTGCGAACAGTGGCTCCACATCGTACTTACGCAGGAATTTGTGTTCTAGCACAAATTGAAGAGCTACCAAAACTTGTGCTACAACGCAGAGGACATCACCTAAAGTAATGTGTGAACAAATTTAGAGCTCTAAGTCTTCTCAGTTTATTGACTTCAACGAGTGAGAAATCTTACCTACTATAATATGGTTGGCATTGCTATCCTTATGATCTCCAAAGAAAAAATCGGTTACTCCTACTACAATCAATCCTAGAACAACGGAAAGCATTCCTAGCCATTTATATCCTTCGATTCGAGCATGAACTATGACGATGGATAGCAAACCCGTGCATACGATAAGAGCTCCTAAGTTGGTAGCAGTTTGATTTGAAAACATCGCTCTCTCTAGTAAAATTTTACCTCTTAACATCTGGTAGCTGCTAGCTGTTGTTAAGGTGAGTCCAATATACATAACTGAAGTGGAGATTATATCGCATACAGCTGGTCCCAGGAAAATGAATGGATTGAATGTGCTCAGTTTAGGCTTCTCCTCTTCTTAAATAAAACCTTTTCCGTACGCATTTCGAAACTTTTTTCACAGTCAGGAGCATACCCGGCTTCTTATTCTTGTGCCATTTATATCTCTTGTATGCAAAGCTAATCAGATAAGCGAACATACATAGCAGTTCGCCGAAAAACATACATCCTGCCTAAAATATAAGTAAAATATAAGAATGACATGCACAGCAAACTGCTTACATTTTGGAAAAAAAGTACAGCTTTCCATGCCATGTAGAAGGGATTGAAAAGATAGGACTTACCTGACACCCTCAATGGGACCTGAAATAGGAGGGGAAAGAGAGGGAGGAGGGAAGACAAAGGGAGAGGGGGATGGGAGGTGTAGTAAAGTGTCAAAAATTGACAGTCACCAGTGAATTATGAAGCATAAAGGCTAACATCTTATTACT